CCGGCCACCCGGAAAGGATGCCCAGGAGCTCAATTCCCCAATTTCCTGCCCCAGACGGTTCCAAGATGGCCTCCAAGATGCCTCTAAGACGGCCAGGATGGTCTCTAAGACGGCTAAGATGGCTCCAAGATGCCTCCAAGACGGCCCAAGATGCCCTCCAAGACGGCCAAGATGGCCCCAAGATGCCTCCAAGATGGCCCAAGAGGCCTCCAAGACGTTCTCCAGGAGAGCCCGAAGAGGCCAAAATCATTGGTTTTCCTTAGGTTTTTGAAGGTTTTTTGCGTTTTCTTCTTTTCGGCCTTCCGACGGCCCAAGAGGCCCCCAAGATCGCCCAAGAGGCCTCCAAGAAGGCCCTATGACGGCCCAAGGGCCCCCCAAGACGGCCCCAAGAGCGCCCCAAGACGGCCCAAGAGGCCTCCAAGACGCCCAACATGGCCTCCAAGACGGCCCTGAAGCGCCCCAAGAGGGCCCCAAGACGGCCCAGAGAGGCCCCCAAGACGGCTCCAGACGGCGTCAGACGGACCAGGAACGCCCTAAGACGGCCAAAGAGACCCCCAGGAAGCCCCCAAAGGCCCCCAAGAGGCCCAAGGAGGCCCCCAAGATGCCTCCAAGAGGCCTCGAAGAGGCCCCCAAGAAGCCCCCAACAGACCCCAAGGGTGCCCCAAGAGACTCCTAACAACCCTCATCCTCCTACTCTATTTCTTCCTCTTCCTCTTCCTGTTCATAATCATTCTCTCCCATGTGTTCCCCGAAAGCTTTCCAAACCGACTCGGGGAACTCATGGTCCGATAGCTTGGCCAAGCTTTAGTCCAACTTTCGGCCACATCGGCGTTTCCAAAAAGGCAGGGGGCGGCGGTGATTCGCCGTAGGCGTCTTCGATCCGCCGCCCCCTGCTTGCAGGGGTGCCTGTGGGCTTCGGCCCGTCCCGCCGGCCACCCGTAATTTTCCCAAAATCCGTCTGTCAATGCCTTTGTTGCCCCAACTTGGCCCAAGATGGCCTCCAAGACGGCCAAGATGGCCCAAGATGGCCTCCAAGATGCCTCCCAGACGGCCAAGATGGCCTCCAAGACGGGTAAGATGGCTCCAAGATGCCTCCAAGACGGCCCAAGATGCCCTCCAAGACGGCCAAGATGGCCCCAAGATGCCTCCAAGATGGCCCAAGAGGCCTCCAAGACGTTCTCCAGGAGAGCCCGAAGAGGCCAAAATCATTGGTTTTCCTTAGGTTTTTGAAGGTTTTTTGCGTTTTCTTCTTTTCGGCCTTCCGACGGCCCAAGAGGCCCCCAAGATCGCCCAAGAGGCCTCCAAGAAGGCCCTATGACGGCCCAAGGGCCCCCCAAGACGGCCCCAAGAGCGCCCCAAGACGGCCCAAGAGGCCTCCAAGACGCCCAACATGGCCTCCAAGACGGCCCTGAAGCGCCCCAAGAGGGCCCCAAGACGGCCCAGAGAGGCCCCCAAGACGGCTCCAGACGGCGTCAGACGGACCAGGAACGCCCTAAGACGGCCAAAGAGACCCCCAGGAAGCCCCCAAAGGCCCCCAAGAGGCCCAAGGAGGCCCCCAAGATGCCTCCAAGAGGCCTCGAAGAGGCCCCCAAGAAGCCCCCAACAGACCCCAAGGGTGCCCCAAGAGACTCCTAACAACCCTCATCCTCCTACTCTATTTCTTCCTCTTCCTCTTCCTGTTCATAATCATTCTCTCCCATGTGTTCCCCGAAAGCTTTCCAAACCGACTCGGGGAACTCATGGTCCGATAGCTTGGCCAAGCTCTAGTCCAACTTTCGGCCACATCGGCGTTTCCAAAAAGGCAGGGGGCGGCGGTGATTCGCCGTAGGCGTCTTCGATCCGCCGCCCCCTGTCGATTCATCGCAGGGGTGCCTGGCGTGCTGGACCTCTCGGTTTTGGTATTGGCTCTTTTTCCAAAAGAACTCTCCCAGTGGGCTTCGGCCCGTCCCGCCGGCCGCCTCCCAAGACCCGCAAGACGCACACGCCATCGCCCAATCCCAATTCTTCCTCCAAGACGGCCCAACATGGCCTCCAGGATGGTCACGTTGGCCCAAGATGGCCTCCAAGATGGTCCAAGATGGCCTCCAAGTTCGCCCAAGATGGTCCAAGACGGCCTCCGAGACGGCCCAAGAGGCCCCCCAGAGGCCTCCAAGACGGCCCAAGAGGCCTCCAAGAGGGCTTCCAGGAAGGCCCGAAAAGGCCAAAATCATTGATTTCACATAGGTTTTTGAAGGATTGTGGCATTTATTTTTTTTCTGCCTTCCGACGGCCCGAGACGGCCCAAGTGCCCCCAAAGATCGCCCAAGAGGCCCAAGACACGGCCCCAAGAGGCCCCCAAGACGGCCCAAGAGGTCTCCAAGACGGCCCAAGATGGCCTCCAAGACGGTCCAAGAGCCCTCCAAGACGTCCTCCAAGAAGGCCCGAAAGGGTCAAAATGGCCTCCAGACGGCCAAGATGACCTTCAAGATGCCCGCGTGTTCCCCGAAAGCACACCGACTCG